GCACGACCCTGGCTCAGTCTGCAGCCTGAAAAGGCGTGTATTTCAGTCTGACCACGCAGCAAAGCACATCACATTATTTTATTGGAAATGTCTATCTTCTGTCCAGCCATGGCCAGACACTCTAGCTAAGGCTGCTACTCAGCAGGCTGAGGACTTAGGGGAGCCCAAGGTTTGATCCTCCCTAAAAGGCTCTCTGATCATGAGGTCTAAGTGCTCATAGCACTGCTGACCCATCTCACCCCGGGGATGAGGGACATGACTGTGTCCAGTCTCCTGTGTCCTGCCATCCAGTCGGCGCAGATGGGCATCCCTGGCCTCAGGGTTCACGGGACCTCACATCTCACCACTGGCTGCTGCGACTTCCAAAGTCCTCCCCGCAGGTGGGCAGGGACAGCTCCCCCATGTGCTTCAGAGCTGAGGGGCTGCATGAGCATCGCTGTGTAAGTGAGCACCCACGCTGTGGGCCCCGAGCACGTCGGACGGGGCTGCCGGACCTGCAGGCCTGGGCCGTCCCGGGACCGCGCCGCCTGAGTCTGCAGAGCTGACGGCAGGGGATCTCTACGGCAACCAGTTCAAAGGTCTCTGATGAGACTCACCAAGTATATTAATTCTACATAATTTATAGACAAATGTAAAGTACAAAATTTGTTCATTTTAAAAATTTAAATTTCTTTTTTGTATAAAGGTAAATCAATTACAAGGAAGAGCTACGTAATGGGAAAGTTGGACCAGATTTCGTTCAAGATTCTTTAGACGCCCATGGTTTTATGGTGTCTGAGATTTTTTTTTTTTTTTTTGGAGAGGTTTTTGTTATAGGACACGTGTGCTCACCAGACAGACAGACAGACAGAAGTGAGAAATCATCCGTCCAGGGCAATAGCCATGCTCCAAGCCCTTCTCCTCCATCCTCCTCTCAGAATCTTGGGCACGCATGCACACACATCCGGTGTGAGTTTAAGTTTGGGTCTGGGACTCAAACTGTGGGCAACTACATGGGAGTCCAGCGACATAGCCATTACACCAACTGCTAGTCCCATATTTATAAATTTTTATTTTACTTTTTAGAGAGATTTTTGCTGTAGGGCATGTGTGCTCTCTAGAGAGACAGAGACAAAAGGCAAGAAATCACTCCCAAAAGGGGATGGCCATGCCACTTCCCCTTCTCCTCCACGCTCTTCTTGGAATCTTGGGCACATATGCACATGTGAGTTTTAAGCTGCTGGATCTGGGACTATGAACCGTGGTCTGCTATGTGGGAGTCCAGCGACATAACCATTACACCATCTGCTGGTCCCAACAATTTCTGAGATTTTAAAGGTTTGGAGTTTCTCATTCTTGGAGTAGATTGAAAGTCAATAATTGAGGATTTCCAATTTATTTCCTTAGGGTGGATACAATTGTGAATGCATAATTGTATATAAAAAATGAAATTATAATACAGTTCTCATTTCTGTTTAGTATTTTTTCATTAAAATACCTCTTTTTAATACTTTTCAGTGAATAACCCAATACCCTCCGATTTGAAATCAGAAGCAAAAAAAGCTGCTAAAATATTAAGAGAATTCACAGAAATAACTTCCAGAAATGGACCGGATAAGATCATCCCTGGTAGGTAAATGGGATCCTCGGCTCACGTCTAAGTGGGTGTGCTTTCTACACTGCTCCTTGTGTCCCTAAGCGCCAACCCCTGAGCCCAGCCGGGACCTGGACACCTTTGTTCTCAGAGCTGATCAGGAAGCTCTGGAAGCCCCATGGCTCTTCCCAGTGGGTCCCCATGCAGGATCCCCTGTAGACACAGATGGTGCAGGTCAGGTCAGGCAGCCCCCGACCCCACGGGATGCGAAGTGCCCTGCGCACACCTGCCCTCTCTCCGGTGTCCTGCACTCTGTCCTCATAGCTTTCTGAGAACCAGCTGTCTGCAAGTCCACTAAATTGCCCAGATACGTTTTAACTTCGTGTTTTTCCCTCCACGAAAGCGTTTGCACGCCACAGTGTCTCAGGGAGACGTTGCCGGTCAGCATCCCCCACGACGCAGGCACCAGTGCCCTCTGGCTGCTGGAACACAGTCCCTAAGTCCCGCTCCAAGCCTGCTGGGTCCGACTGAGCGGTGTGCCCAGAGATGCACGCTTGCGTTTTAACCCTGTCTCTACTGCAGTCCCTGCAGTTCCGTAGGTGGGCAGGCCGCACACGGCCCGTCCAGACCTGGCCTCTGGGAACTGCTACTGCCCATCCGCACCACCAGTGCCGCTTGTCCCCACAGGCTGTCCCACGAAGGTCTTCCTCGTGCTGGCCGGGCCACACGGCAGGCAGACTGCCCTCTCAGTTACTGCAGGGTACGACTCGGCCCTGCATGAAAGAAACCCATTTACTTTTTCTAAGCCAGATCTTCTGAGGTTATTTGACAGCTTTAAGTGATTTAAACATGTTTGTTGCTGTTATAATAGCATTAATAATAATATTAATTATTGTTATGTCAGCCAGGCACATCTCCCATCGGAGAAAACAGCTCTTCATAGGTGAGGCCTTCCAAAGGCAGGCTGCACTGAGGCATGGATCTTCCCCGGGCCCTGAAAAGCTGCTCAGCCCTCAGCAGTCAGAACTCACACCACTCGCAGGACTGCTAGGTGCGAGTGCTTGAGCACCTACGAATTTGAGCAGTGTTTTTTAGAACTTTGAGGAAGTTCAACCAGAAAAACTGAGCTTTCAGTGGCAATATTGTGACCCCAGGGATGGAGGACATTCCTTTATTTTTTTTTTTCCTCCTATTTTCAGAGGGAACATGTACTTGCCAGAGACAGAGAGAGGACGAGAGCATCCCCAGTGGGCATGGCGCCCTGTAGTTCTTCTTTCTCCATTTCCCCCTGTCAGGATTCTGGGCACACATAGACACACTCACACACACACCACGTGCACCTGTCAGGATCCTGGGTACACACACCTGTCATGCTGCTTCTGCCTTCAGAGAGAGGAAGGACACTGGACTCCCTTCGGGACGATACTCCAAAATAAAAAATCCTCTTGCATATCGGCCTCCGTAAGACCTAACCCAAGGAATGCGCCTGGAGGGGGCCCCCAGCTACCAGAGGGCCATTCTTCCCAGAGCTTCACCAGGGGTTCCGGTAAAGCCACTGCGCAGCTCTGGAACACTGAGGGGCTGAGCGCTAGGCCATGGGACTCAGTGTGCACACGCCTGCTCTGATGGAGGCTCCGACATGCGAAGCTGCAGGGCCGACACTGCCATCAGCTCCTGTGGTAGACAGAAAGCTAGCTAGCAAGCACGTCCGTCTGCCCAGAACTCGGGTGAACAGTCTGCAAGACACAGTCAGCGGGCGGTATGTGTTCCTCTGGGAACGTGCGTTCTGTTCTAGGGGCGCAGCAACTCAGTGCGTGGGGAGCAGACTCCCTGCCCACAGGTGGCTGTGGAAACAGAGCCTGCACCGGGCTCATCTGCAGTTCTAAAACAGTGCTGGAGCAGAGGGCCACCAGAGCAGCCTGAGGGCCCAGCCCCACCCAGCTGCCAGGGCAGGACGCCTGTCACTAATTTAGATGTTCGAAGTGGTGACAAGGTTTGAAAGGGTGTCTACCAGACCTCCCTCAGGCTCCTGGACCCAGGGTCTGGTTTCACATCCTTGACAGATGTTTGATGAAAGTGATGACAAAGTAAACCAGTCTCGGTGACCGTTGAGACTTCTTTTGTGATTTTGAAAGAAGTGCCACTATGTAAATAAACGCAGAGAGGATGGGGTGCTTGCGTGTGGACACGTGTGTTAGTAACACACATGTAATGAACACCCCTGAAATGCGTGCAAGCCAACGTTTGTAAGTTGAATTATGTTTTAGCATTCTGGCAGTTAAGTGGCATTCAAATACCATAGCAGGCCACTTTGTGAGGTTTTAGAACTTCTTAAAATTTCAAAATCACTTAATTTTGCTATTTTGGAGTTAAAACATATGCATACTACGTGGTGGTGCCGCTGGATGTGCTCCGGCTGCATGGTTCCAAGATCAGAGCTCCTCTCCATGGTTGGCTGTCGTCATTTATTAATTTCCTCCTTAAAACTGTGGAGCTGAGACCGGCAGGTGCCATAATGGCTATGTTGCTGGACTCCCATGTAGTTGGCCGCAGTTAGAGTCCTGGACTCAGTGGATTAAACTCACACCAGGCACCTGTGCATGCTCAAGATCCTGAGAGGAGAATGGAGAAGGGATAGAGGCATGACCATCCCCCACCCCCGGGGGTGATTTCTCACTTTCTGTCTCTCTGTCTGTCTGGCTAGCGCATATGCCCTATAGCAAAAACCTCTCCAGAAACAAAAAAAAAAAAAAAAAAAAAAAAAAACGAAAAAAAA